CAGATTTTGCCAAATCTCTATAAAGATGATGAATCTGTCAAGCAAGATGAAGAAATCCAAGCATGGTGGTCAGAAATTCGAGAAGTTGGCCATGGTGATAAGTGCAATGAGACATGGTGGTACCAGATGGAAAATCGATCCGAACTAATAAAGACTCTAACAACTCTGATATGGATTACATCAGCACTTCATGCTTCAATAAACTTTGGCCAATATGCATATGCTGGCTACCCTCCCAATCGCCCAGCAGCATGTCGAGGATCCATTCCTAGAGAAGGAACAGAAGAATATGCAGAATTCCTAAGAGATCCAGATAATTACTATCTTAAGATGTTACCAGATAGATTTCAGATGGCACTCTATATAGCAGTAATGAATATTCTCTCCCAGCACACATCAGATGAAGTCTACATGGGTCAGAGGCCCTCATGGAACTGGACAGACAATGAAGAGGTTCTCCAAAAGTTCAAGAATTTCAGTGAAAGACTTAAGGAGATAGAAAAGGAAATTTTAAAGAGGAATGAAGACCCCCAGCGCAAGAACAGGGTAGGCCCAGCCAAAATTCCATATACATTTCTCTATCCTAATACTTCCAAAGTTGGCCAAGTGGGCGGAATCACAGGAAGAGGAATTCCTAACAGCATATCCATTTGAATTTATATAATATAATTGATAATTGAAAAACGAATTTACTATAATTAACCAAATTTTACTTAGTAGAAACAATAGAATTCATGTTATCAAGGTACCAGACATGCTTCATAAGACTACGTAAAGGCCCTACTTAAACAAAATAAACTCATAACTGTCATCACCATCGAATTATATAAATATATATACAAATGAAAATTTGTGACATGTTCAAGCACATAGGTCAAATTGGATAGCAAATCATGAGAATTCATGCATTTTGATTATTAAAAGATGCAACATTTCAAATCCATGCCCAGGAAGGACGGGTACTTAAAAACAACGTATGTCAACAGATGCTGGGTTTCCTGATACAATAGGACTTTTCACAGTAAAATCAGGTACCAGAATGTTGATAGCTTTGAACATGCTCTTAAAATGGATTTGCTAGCAGCAGCTCAAGATATATTTGCAAAACTACTTGTCAATGGTCATATATATTGTGATGGTAGCCATGTTTTGTCAAGAATGCCGATGTTGAAGAGAAAATGGTGATCTATCAACATGCTGTGGATTTCCCATCACCATATCAACAACCATTTCAGCCGTCCCCAGAGCCTATAAAGTGTACAAAAAATGGTCATCCTTCATTTTGTTATGGGTAGCAATACCACAAACATTCTACCTTTTGAGGAATCAAAAAAAGATATTTATATTACCAGAGAAAGTCCTCCACCTTCATGCCCTGTTGCCAGAAACACATGTGACAAACCAGGCACAAGCCCAATCACTGGTTTCCCATCAGGCACTGAGACCAGGAAAAATATAATAAAATCATTTTTATATGTGAACAACATGCTTCAACTACAATACAGAATTCTAATAACAAACAACATTCTTTTGTTTTATACACTTCAAGACCTACAAACTTACTGTATGGGCGCAATCCTACTCTCACTTTCCTCTTATGAATGAAATCTTCGAGGGGAACTTCTCTTAATTTTGGAAAGAACTCTCCAACCCGCTTCCATATATGAAGAATTACAGACTCGTCCACTTCAGTGCTAAATCCTGCAAATTGGCGGCTGCTTCCTGCAAGAAAAGAAAATGTTAGTGGAGAAGAGAGAAAAAAAGTATGCAACAGACATTAATCTACTTTATACCAACATAATATGGAATAGTTAAATTAGGAAAATCTGCAAGATAAAGAAGATAAACCAAACAAAAAGTACTCCAAATCCCAGCATAATGAACAATCTTAAAGCATACCACCAGGCACTAGCCCAAATGGTTACTCCCAAACTCTTCCTTGGGCTTCCTGGCTTGAATCAGGCCATACTGTTCCTAGCTCACATCCATAAAAGAAAACTTATCCAAAATTTGCATAGATGCTGAAGTCTAATTTCTAGTGTGATGACAAATTAAAGCCGAATATAAGGAACACTAACATGCAGAAGCGAGCAACAATGGGCATATCCACATAAAATAATGGTGTTCTTGTTATATAATTTGGGGCAGATAAAAAACAAGGGCCTTAAACATGGGAAAGCACACTAAAATTTACCAAGAAGAAGATTTCCCCTAGTATCCGTTGTGGCAGTCATCGCAACAGACAACATTTGCTTCTGCTCATCATGTATAGAAGCGGTTGTATTATGATCCAAAGTTACACCTTGACAATCAATATAACCTACCTCCATTAGGCCATGATTTAAATGAAGAGAACTAAAATTTTCAAGCACAAGCAGGTGACCCTGTCAGGAAAATCAAATGTGACGCAGATGTTACATAAACCCCTTAAGATGAAGATGTTAATGTAATTCTTAGGATGCTCATGTTGAAAACTCTAGAAGAATCAGAAAATTGACCACGATGAAGCCTAAAACTATTCATAAATTTCATAATATCAATTTTAAAGCATTTTCCTCCAGTTCCTATAGCATCACTTATACACAAGCATGAATCATTCTATTATTTTCTTTTCTTAAATATCAAAGCGATCTCCAAGGAGCAGGGATTCTGAAATCTTATTGATATTATATACCAGGAATACATTGTGGAACGTGAAATACTGCAAAAATTGTAAGCATATACAATTGCAGCCAAACCTTCCGAGGTTTTATAGGGAGGTCCACCATGATGTCTAATTCTCTAAGAAGTTCATGCATCAAAGACCCAGTCCAACAACCAGCTGCAACTATAATGGCCTTTTTACTGTACAAGATATTCTTTGAAGTCTGAACAGCTTCCACCTCCCCAGTGTTGTCAGATCTGAGAATGCAGAAAAGCTATAAAACTTAAAATACGGATAACTTCTAAACAAGAACTTTTTATAGTAAATTTCACTATGCAACAAGAGGATGACAGTGCTTTTATCCTAAACTTCAGTACAGCATTAAAGGAATGACAGCAAACCTTAATAAACCTGTCACTGGTTCATGATAAAACTCTGCATATCGACCTTCTAATGCAAACTGTCTGTTAGCCTATAAATAATACATACACATTGATCATTTTATATGTGTGGCAGATAATGAAATCTGAAGCATAAAGCCAAAAGAAAAGACTGCAAAGCATTAACTGATGCGAGTAAGAAAATTTTAATTTGGAATAAATTTTCTATTAAAGAACTTTTTTAAGTATCATTAGAATTTTTTATTTTAAAGTTATTTAGGTTTATTTAGACATTATAATGTTTTTTTCTTTTTCTGTAGATTTTAAATATTGTAGGAATTAGAATCTTTTAATTTCCTCTTTTATAATATTCTTATTTGCTATAACTAACTTCTGTGTAAACACTAATAAGCTGCCAACAAAGAGAACAAGCGATAATGAATTAAGAATTTTTTTTATCAGGGATTTATTCCCGATTATCTCTCTCCGTGTTTCTCTATAGGATTATTTTTCCATCTACATATTTCTTTCAAGCTATATCATTCTATATTTCTTCCTCTTGATTTGATCTCTAATTCATCTACCCAGTCTTTATTCTCCAATTTCTCACCCAAATTTCTTCTATTTCTAAAATATTCACAAGACAAGTTAGTGTAACTGCTACTCATCTTGTAGCAGACCTTCTCAATGTAAGAGACAGTACGATGAGCATCCAATTGGCAATCATCAGGTAGAAAGACAGCCCCAGCATCATTTCCAACCAAAAGTTCAGGTTCCTTTAGGAGCAACTCACATGCAGATAAGTACTCTGCTCTTAAGCCAGCTTCTACGAGTTGCTTCACCTTTGCCTTCAACACAATGGAGTCCTCAGGGGTTCTACCAACTAACAGGCTTCCTGCAGAATGTAGCAACACACAAGGCCTTGATTTTCAATCAAGTTCTTTGGCATATAAGAACTCAGAAATACTTCTATTAGAAAATGTTCTTCGCATTTCACAACACACTATTGTAATTTCCCGTAAAAGTATCATATGAGGTCAAATTTTATATTTTTTAATAAAATTTACATCATATCTTCTAATTGAATTCTTTATATTTTAGAAAAATATATATCTTTTAATTGAATTAAGTCTTTATTTTGCAAATGAATGCTATAAAATTTCTAAATTTGTTTTAACCATAGCGCTGCAGAAAATACAGCTCAAAAAATTATTCCTCACAGCTGAAGTACCATTTCCTCATTGGTCCAGGCATTTTTTTTCAAACCCCAGTCAAGTTTATGCATTGTGGCTTTTCTAGGAAGCTCATTCTCATTCAGGTCTTAAATACCTGTTTTTTTCCAGCCCAATACTTCCTGAGGATCCAACCCTTGGTCGCGTAAACTGTCCGCTAACATCGTCCACAATTTGTGGCTCCTGATTGTCAAATCCCAGGTGTCACTTCCAGGTGTTTTGTGCACCATCCATAAATAGCCCTGACCTGGAAGTGAGCCGGTTCAAATGCCAAATAGAGGTTAGAGGTATCATCTATACAACAAACGGAAGTCAGGATGGGGGGGAAAAAAAGAAAGAGAGAAGTCTTCAATATTTTACCATGTCAAAATTGTTCAAGAAATACTGATCTTAAGCTATATTAAAAGTCGATTTACAATATTTTTTACACGAAGAAGCCAGGAAGAGATGGTAAATATAGGAGTTAATCAGCTAAATTAAGATTTATTAGGAGTCGTAATCAATGAAGCATAGTACTTTTAAGTGGCTAGTCCTAGTGATTAATTACATTTTTTGTCTTTTGTGGTAAACTCTTTAGTCAACAACGCAAGACACTCTGTGCTATGCTGAATACATACAGGTTTGCCAATTTTCACACATTTTCTCGAGAAAAAGATTATTACGCAAGAGGGACAATTGAAATATATATATATATATATATAGAGAGAGAGAGAGAGAGGGGAGCTAACCGGCGCCTGTAGCACCAGAGCAAGGGACGGCCTTGTCGACCACAGCAACTGAAAGATCCGACTTCATCAGAAACTGTCTGGCAATCGTCAAACCGATTATGCCTGCCCCGACGATGACAATGTCAAAAGAATGGGAAGCGGCCATGACACGACTCGCAGGGGAAGCGTTGAGGGCTTCAGTTCGGGACCTTCGAGTTCTTTTGATGGACAGCGCGAGGCCCGATTTTCGCAGAAATCTGGAGCAAAACAAGCTTGACTTCAACGGAGGGGCACATGACTGGTCGGCAGGAACTGACACGACGCAGTTTCTTAGACGACAGGAGCTCGAAGAATATACTATTGAAATCGAAGGCATGGTGTTCTGAGTTCTCCTCTAGTTCTTTATTGCATTTAGAATTTAAAATCGACAGCGAGCTCCGCTCGAGGTTTTTGACTCATTGCGCGAAAGCTTATAGAGATGTGCTCACAGTAAGCTCAACCTTTCCAATTTCCTTCCGATTCTTCTGATTGCAAGGTTGCAACAGCAGCTTGAAGAAATCATCCCGGCACTATTTTATATATATAAATAATTTATAAATTAATTACAGGTAGTTTTAGAAATTTCTAAATTAATAAAAAAAAAATGTTCTAATATTTTGATTAAAAAAATAAAATTAGACTCTATAAAGAACATATTGGAACAGAAATTACTACTTTTAATATACAAAGGCATTATAACAACAACCAATTACATGAACTTGAATCTATTTTATAATTGAATTTTCATATATATGGATGATAGAATTCATACAAATAAAAGTAACAAAAATTAAAAATGATCATTTATAGAATTATTAAACATTTTACAATTTAAAATTTTTAATATTTTCTATATTTATTAATTATTATAAATCTGAACATACATAAATAATGAGAATGTTAAATAAATAATAAATAATAAATAAATTTGAATGCATATTTTTGCATATAAATAAAAAAAAGTATGTAAATCAAAAAATTCTTATCCGCACAAATTTATTTTTATTATAATTAAATAGTATCCTACAAAATATATAAATTTGAGTACATATTTTATAATAAATAAAAATAAATATTTAAAAATTATATTTTATATATAAATAAATAAGAATCACGTAATTAAAATATTGTTAATACAATATTTATAATAATGATTCCAAATTTAAATATATATATTTTTATATAAATAAATAAATATATTAGATAATTTAAACAAACATTATAAAAAAAACATGTACGAGTAATTAATGTCTTAACATCAGTGCATAACTTTATTTTATAATATTTATATGTAAAACACCAACTTCGTAACATAAAGATTACTTTTGGTTCTACAAAAAATTTTTTGTAAGTAATTTTAGCAATTGTCATATCATATCGTTTTTATGCTAATTTTATTCCCTAATTTCGTTGAAAGAAGTGTTTTTTTAAAAAATAAAATAAAAAATACATATATTAATTAATTAAATAATATACATATATTAACAATAACACAACACGTATAATTTTTAAAATAAAAATTTATATAAAAATATGATTCAACTTAAACTTACTTTTTTTTAAAAAAAAAATAATAATAATTGTATTAACAACTAAAGTAAATGATAATTAGTGGTTTAATTAAAAGAAGTTACGTATTCAGCGGCCGGTTGTACACGGTTGAAGCAGCGGGAAGGCGAGAACAGAGTCCATGAATTGTGCAGGCAGAGCTTCCAGGTAAAGTCAATCACGTTGATGATGGGGCCAAGAGAAGCCATAAAAACCTAACATGCAAGCAATGGATAGATTCATCACGTAAAGATAGAGGCTAAGCATATTTGCTTTTTCCTCCTCTATCAACTCCTCTACACTCGTCACTTCGTGTTTATATAACAAACTCCCTCCAACCATAAATGCTCACAAATGAGAAGACAAATATGGAAAACCAAGTTCCACAGTCTAAAAATCCTGAATCCAAAGAATCCAAACTCATTATCATCACCGGTGAATTTGTCATCAGTCTGAGTCCCACGCTACGGATTCCTGATAATTCAGTTGTTGTTCAGATTTGCAGCGCCACTGAAGTCAATACAGGCAAGTAGAGTTTTTACTTGCTGATATCAGAATTTTTGCATTTTGGTACTTGTAATTCAATATGGTTTCTATTTTTCAAGTACAGTAACCAAGAAAGGAAAAGTAGGCGAGAAAACATCCCTCAAGCGGGGAAGTAACAAGAAAAAGATGGGCAAACGAATTGTAACATATACAAGAAATTTCCGGGTTAACTCAGAGTTTGGAACCCCGGGAGCTTTCCTGATAACAAACAAGCATAAGCACAAAATTTTCCTTGAATCCGCCGCTCTGTATATTCCCAAACAAGACCCGAGTTTTGATGGTGAGTACGAAGTTATCCATTTCTACTGTGGCTCATGGATATATCCGATCAAGCTTGCAGTGGATCCAAGGGTTTTCTTCTCAAATACTGTAAGTTATCCCTTCATGGAAAATTCCTTTAGTTTTCTCTCCAATGGGAATAATATTATAAAAAAAAAAACTAATTAATATGTTATTGTACTTGAGCAAGTGTTACCTTCCAAAGGAAACACCTAGTGGTCTATCGAGATGGAGGAGCAAAGAACTCGAAAACTTGAGGGGAGATGGATCCGGGGAGAGGAAGGAATGGGAAAGAATCTATGACTATGATGTATACAATGATCTTGGTAATCCTGATAAAAGTGATCAACATATTAGACCTGTTTTGGGAGCATCTGAATCATACCCTTATCCCCGTCGGCTAAGAACAGGTCGACCACCTTCCGTCAAAGGTATACATTCTCACCCAACAATTTCTTTTATACAATATATGTATATATAGAATATCATATATGTTTTATGAGTAGATCCTTCAAGTGAAAGCCGACCAGAGTTGATCAATTTGGATGTATATGTTCCACCCGATGAGCGATTGAGCCCAAAGAGAGTGTCAGAGTTGATGTTATGTGTAGTCCAGGCTACTGCACTTATTCCTGAGCCTGAATCCGCGAAGAACTCTTCCAGAACCTTCAAGGATTTAAAGCAGCTGCAAAGGGAATTGATAAGTGATAAGGACAAAAACAAGGCAATGCCCAAGTGGGTAAGGAAACAACTGAAGCAAATTGTATCCAGAAAACTCTACCAACTTATGAAAACTCAAACAAGGCAACATAAGCCCCACAAGAAATGTCTAATAATACCTTCTTTGGTCAAACAACAGCCGAACAGGTTT